GTACCACTATTCACTTCTCCACCTGCTGTACCACTATTCACTTCTCCACCTGCTGTACCACTATTCACTTCTCCACCTGCTGTACCACTATTCACTTCTCCACCTGCTTTACCACTATTCACATCTCCACCTGCTGTACCACTATTCACATCTCCACCTGCTGTACCACTATTCACTTCTCCACCTGCTGTACCACTATTCACTTCTCCACCTGCTTTACCACTATTCACATCTCCACCTGCTTCACCACTATTCACTTCTCCACCTGCTGTACCACTATTCACTTCTCCACCTGCTTTACCACTATTCACATCTCCACCTGCTGTACCACTATTCACTTCTCCACCTGCTTTACCACTATTCACTTCTCCACCTGCTGTACCACTATTCACTTCTCCACCTGCTTTACCACTATTCACATCTCCACCTGCTTCACCACTATTCACATCTCCACCTGCTTCACCACTATTCACATCTCCACCTGCTTTACCACTATTCACTTCTCCACCTGCTGTACCACTATTCACTTCTCCACCTGCTTTACCACTATTCACATCTCCACCTGCTTCACCACTATTCACTTCTCCACCTGCTTTACCACTATTCACATCTCCACCTGCTTTACCACTATTCACATCTCCACCTTATTTACCACTATTCACATCTCCACCTTATTTACCACTATTCACATCTCCACCTGCTTCACCACTATTCACATCTCCACATTATTTACCACTATTCACATCTCCACCTTATTTACCACTATTCACATCTCCACCTTATTTACCACTATTCACATCTCCACCTTATTTACCACTATTCACATCTCCACCTGCTTCACCACTATTCACATCTCCACCTTATTTACCACTATTCACATCTCCACCTTATTTACCACTATTCACATCTCCACCTGCTTTACCACTATTCACATCTCCACCTTATTGACCACTATTCACATCTCCACCTTATTGACCACTATTCACATCTCCACCTTATTACCACTATTCACATCTCCACCTTATTGACCACTATTCACATCTCCACCTTATTTACCACTATTCACATCTCCACCTTATTTACCACTATTCACATCTCCACCTGCTTTACCACTATTCACATCTCCACCTTATTGACCACTATTCACATCTCCACCTTATTGACCACTATTCACATCTCCACCTGCTTCACCACTATTCACATCTCCACCTTATTTACCACTATTCACATCTCCACCTTATTTACCACTATTCACATCTCCACCTTATTTACCACTATTCACATCTCCACCTTATTTACCACTATTCACATCTCCACCTTATTTACCACTATTCACATCTCCACCTTATTTACCACTATTCACATCTCCACCTTATTTACCACTATTCACATCTCCACCTTATTTACCACTATTCACATCTCCACCTTATTTACCACTATTCACATCTCCACCTTATTTACCACTATTCACATCTCCACCTGCTTTACCACTATTCACATCTTCACCTGCTTTACCACTATTCACATCTCCACCTTATTTACCACTATTCACATCTCCACCTTATTTACCACTATTCACATCTCCACCTTATTTACCACTATTCACATCTCCACCTGCTTCACCACTATTCACATCTCCACCTTATTTACCACTATTCACATCTCCACCTGCTTTACCACTATTCACATCTTCACCTTATTTACCACTATTCACATCTCCACCTGCTTCACCACTATTCACATCTCCACCTTATTTACCACTATTCACATCTCCACCTTATTTACCACTATTCACATCTCCACCTTATTTACCACTATTCACATCTCCACCTTATTTACCACTATTCACATCTCCACCTTATTTACCACTATTCACATCTCCACCTTATTTACCACTATTCACATCTCCACCTTATTTACCACTATTCACATCTCCACCTTATTTACCACTATTCACATCTCCACCTGCTTCACCACTATTCACATCTCCACCTTATTTACCACTATTCACATCTCCACCTTATTTACCACTATTCACATCTCCACCTGCTTTACCACTATTCACATCTCCACCTGCTTTACCACTATTCACATCTCCACCTGCTTTACCACTATTCACATCTCCACCTGCTTCACCACTATTCACATCTCCACCTTATTTACCACTATTCACATCTCCACCTGCTTTACCACTATTCACATCTCCACCTGCTTCACCACTATTCAACATCTCCACCTGCCTGTACCACTATTCACATCTCCACCTGCTTCACCACTATTCACATCTCCACCTTATTTACCACTATTCACATCTCCACCTGCTTTACCACTATTCACATCTCCACCTGCTTCACCACTATTCACATCTCCACCTGCTTTACCACTATTCACATCTCCACCTGCTTCACCACTATTCACATCTCCACCTGCTGTACCACTATTCACATCTCCACCTGCTTCACCACTATTCACATCTCCACCTGCTTCACCACTATTCACATCTCCACCTGCTTTACCACTATTCACATCTCCACCTTATTTACCACTATTCACTTCTCCACCTGCTGTACCACTATTCACTTCTCCACCTGCTTTACCACTATTCACATCTCCACCTGCTTCACCACTATTCACATCTCCACCTGCTTTACCACTATTCACATCTCCACCTGCTTTACCACTATTCACATCTCCACCTTATTTACCACTATTCACATCTCCACCACTATTCACATCTCCACCTTATTTACCACTATTCACATCTCCACCTGCTTCACCACTATTCACATCTCCACATTATTTACCACTATTCACATCTCCACCTTATTTACCACTATTCACATCTCCACCTTATTTACCACTATTCACATCTCCACCTTATTACCACTATTCACATCTCCACCTGCTTCACCACTATTCACATCTCCACCTTATTTACCACTATTCACATCTCCACCTTATTTACCACTATTCACATCTCCACCTGCTTTACCACTATTCACATCTCCACCTTATTGACCACTATTCACACATCTCCACCTTATTTACCACTATTCACATCTCCACCTTATTACCACTATTCACATCTCCACCTTATTGACCACTATTCACATCTCCACCTTATTTACCACTATTCACATCTCCACCTTATTTACCACTATTCACATCTCCACCTGCTTTACCACTATTCACATCTCCACCTTATTGACCACTATTCACATCTCCACCTTATTTACCACTATTCACATCTCCACCTGCTTCACCACTATTCACATCTCCACCTTATTTACCACTATTCACATCTCCACCTTATTTACCACTATTCACATCTCCACCTTATTTACCACTATTCACATCTCCACCTTATTTACCACTATTCACATCTCCACCTTATTTACCACTATTCACATCTCCACCTTATTTACCACTATTCACATCTCCACCTTATTTACCACTATTCACATCTCCACCTTATTTACCACTATTCACATCTCCACCTTATTTACCACTATTCACATCTCCACCTATTTACCACTATTCACATCTCCACCTGCTTTACCACTATTCACATCTTCACCTGCTTTACCACTATTCACATCTCCACCTTATTTACCACTATTCACATCTCCACCTTATTTACCACTATTCACATCTCCACCTTATTTACCACTATTCACATCTCCACCTGCTTCACCACTATTCACATCTCCACCTTATTTACCACTATTCACATCTCCACCTGCTTTACCACTATTCACATCTCCACCTTATTTACCACTATTCACATCTCCACCTGCTTCACCACTATTCACATCTCCACCTTATTTACCCATTTCACATCTCCACCTTACCACTATTCACATCTCCACCTTATTTACCACTATTCACATCTCCACCTTATTTACCACTATTCACATCTCCACCTTATTTACCACTATTCACATCTCCACCTTATTTACCACTATTCACATCTCCACCTTATTTACCTTTACCACTATTCACATCTCCACCTGCTTCACACCACTATTCACATCTCCACCTTATTTACCACTATTCACATCTCCACCTTATTTACCACTATTCACATCTCCACCTGCTTTACCACTATTCACATCTCCACCTGCTTTACCACTATTCACATCTCCACCTGCTTTACCACTATTCACATCTCCACCTGCTTCACCACTATTCACATCTCCACCTTATTTACCACTATTCACATCTCCACCTGCTTCACCACTATTCACATCTCCACCTGCTTCACCACTATTCACATCTCCACCTTATTTACCACTATTCACATCTCCACCTGCTTTACCACTATTCACATCTTCAACATTGTCAGAGAGAATGATGATATCGTAGCTGCAATATCAGTCGGAATCATCACAATTGCAACTGCAGTCAACATAAAACCTACTTGGCTGTTCCCATAGGCAGTTGGCATTTAGGGGAAAAGACGGATCAAGAGTTGTGTTGATGCAGAATACCAATCATGTTTCCCAGATGTGTTTGTTTTTTTAAATGCACCATTGGTCTTGACTGACTGCGTTGATGCTGTTGTGATGAATGAGCTGTAGCGGAGTTAGAGTGAACGTCCCCTGAGATGAAGTCTCACAGACACTGGCTCAATAGTTTCATGGTATTGCACAGGTGTTAATTAGGCGCAGGTAACCCAGCGTACCTGCCGGTTAGCTTCCCCCCCTGAGAGACTCTGTCCCTCCCTCCACTCTGCTGGGTTGAGCTCGATACCTATATTTTATTTGCGATCCGTCACTTGGCTTCATGCATCACAGGAAGGAGAGAGATGTTGAGTTCTTACAGGGTAAACCGGACCAGAAGAGGCCATCATGCTTTTCTTTTTCAGGAATGAAATACAGATTTTTAAGCTATTGAAGAGAGGGAGGATGCTATAATCTTCTGACAGACGCTTGCAGTTTGAATTCAAAGCTGTTTGACACGTGTCAGTGTTGTTATCTTTGTTTTTGTTCTGCCTACAGAAATGGAAGCAGCTGTCTCGGCTGCAGCGGAGCCTCATCCTGTTGCTGCTGGCTCTGATACTCATATTTGCACTGCTCTCCTATCCAAGCATCCCACAGGAGTGGAAAAGTAAACTATGCCTGCCTGCACAACACTACACACACACACACACACACACACACACACACACACACACACACACACACACACACACACACACACACACACACACACACACACACACACACACACACACACACACACACACACACACACACACACACACACACACACACACACACACACACACACACACACACACACACACACACACACACACACACACACACACACACACACACACACACACACACACACACACACACACACACACACAGAGGAGGAGGACAATGTAATGGTAGTGCTGCATGACTTGTTGCAGCTGATGAGTTGGATTGTCTGTGTACTGCGATTAGTGCTGATAACAACTAAACCTCTCTTTATTCTCAGTTTATTTTATTTTTTGCAATCTTTTAAATGCAGTCAACATGAACATGACAAGGCTTGGTAGAAAGAAACAAGATCATATTTGAGATCGACTCAAATGGATCAACTTTACTGAAAAACAAAATAACAAACGGGATGAGTTTGACAGTATTTTTTTCCCTTGTTCATTTCGTGCGTTTAGCTTTTTCTGACCGGGACGAGTGGCTGGACCTAAACGACAGAGAGGTGAAGGATGATCTTCCAGATGTGCAGTCTGTATTGGATCTACCTGCAGCTAAAGTCCCGCCTCCTGCAGCAGGGCCACATGTAGCAGGGCCACATGTGGGGCCAGCTGTGGATCCAGATCCTGCTGTGGTGGAGCCCAAAGGACCAAACATACCTATTTTTCCTAAACCTCCCATTAAGGTAAGAGTTTATTTTTGTATTTGTCTTTTTACTTTACATCAATAAGGAACATCAGTGAACATGCTAATGTCTAAAACATGCTTAAAAAACGAATTGAAACAGCTGTACTTCATACTTGATGTATTTTCTTTCATTTAGTTCTGACTTGTACAATTACCAATAATACCTTGCTTTGTGTTGACCATATACTTGCTTATTTGTCCTCAAAATAAGGCCTTCCCAAACAAAAGAGGTCCACCAAGCATGCGTAAAGATGGAAACATTTCAGACACAGTCGTTCAGAAAAAGCAAGTGCAGGAGGTGGTTAAAGAAGAAGGAAGAAGGAGAAGGGAGAGGAGGACAAAGAGAAGAAGATTGTCAGGTTTGTTGTTCGTCCCCAACAGAAGGTTTGCAACTGTTCAGACATGATGCTGCCCCTCATATTTTCCTGATTGCAGTACATGAGAGAAGCAGTTAAAGGAGACAGGCTTAATTAAGTGTGTTTTTCTTTCGTCTTGCAGCTGGAGAGGAGCAATGATTCAAGCAGACCAGGCCACAGAGCCCCCGCCCTCGGCAAATGGGAAAGAAGCTGCAGCACCCCCAGCCCCAGCCGACTCTGCAGACCCTCTCCCATTAGATGGTCAGTGCACATTTTGGGAATTCTAACTAACTAACTAAGCTCTTTACCTAACTAAGTCTATCAGTGCAGCATTTAGTTGTTTGGGTGCCAGACAGCTAATCATCAGAGTCTGCTCAAACACTACAAATAGTCTGCTCAAACACTACAAATATAGTCTTCTCAAACACTACAAATATAGTCTTCTCAAACGCTACAAATAGAGTCTTCTCAAACACGACAAATAGTACATTAATTAGAATGCTGATTAAATAACATCAACCCTTTTAACATTGTGATACTGTATGTCTCAAATAATCCTGATTCCTTTCCACACACTTAAATAAGTCACGTAACCACATCTCTTTAAATGCAACAAAAGACACAATACTTTCAGCTCAGTTCATTCAAACAACGTTGCCGTCTTTGAGTGACATCAGCTACGGTATATTAGATATTTACTTCCCTTTCAGAATAATCAGTTTATATTCATATGTCCAGGACAGGTTTATATTGCTTTCTGTTCTGACTCTAGTCTATAACATGTCAGAAAATAACATATTCCAATATTCTCTGACAGACAGTCGAGAGATTTCCACCAGACAAGGACATTTTACAGAAAATAAATAAAACCTTTCTTGCACTTTAGGTCCACTGAGACCCTTCCCCTCAGGCAGATTCTTCGACCTATTGTCCTGCTCTACTATTATATGCTGTTTAAAGCCCAGCACCTTTTAAAAGTTGAATGATTTCTATCATGTTGCTTTGCTCAGCATCAATGCACACAATATTCCTTCCAGTGAAAATAATCAGATAGTGAGATGCGCTCTGTTGAGAGAGATAACACATACTTTAACAATTACACTTGAATTTCTTATTCATTCTTATTTGGACCTTTTGTTTGTAGTTTCAGGCAGAACTGAGGCCAGACTGGAGGCAGTACGTGATGCCTTCAGGCACGCTTGGAAAGGCTACAAGGACTACGCCTGGGGTCACGATGAGCTCAAGCCCATCTCCAGGACTTTTGGGGAGTGGTTCGGACTGGGTTTGACGATCATCGATTCTTTGGACACCATGTGGATTCTGGGCCTCAGAGAAGGTACTGCATGTCAGACATTCCCTCTGCCTCAGGGCTGGCTATCATTCCAAATGTTTCAATACAATTCAAAGTAGGATGCTGATCTGGAGATATGATATAGAGCAGTGGTTCTCAACTGGTCAGGCCTCGGGACCCACTTTTTACTTGGTCAATACATCGCGACCCAACATTTTGAAGCACTCAAATCTATTCAACAAAAAATCGTGCTGTAATATATATATATACGCTTTTGAGCATACAATATTAATAAAAGTGAAGTACAGTGCATATATCTCTTCACAGAACTAAAGTATGTTTTTAAAAAAGGTTTAATGAGATGATGGAATCAAAGCTGAACTATATAAAAAGGCTCACATGCTGAAACCCAACCCCAGCAGGGGGGATTCTCCCCCAGGAGATTTTTAGAAATACTAACATAAACTACGCATTCTGGTACACGCATTGACTTTTCCCCCAAAAAAAAAAAAAAAAAAAATCCAATTTTTTTTTTTCCAACTTTTTTTTCTTCACTCACACATCCGCGACCCACTCGAAACGGGTCCGCGACCCACTTTTGGGTCGCGACCCACCAGTTGAGAACCACTGATATAGAGTATTCTCATCTTTTTGTAGCTTTGCATTTGGTCCTGTAAAAAGGACTTTACACATCAAAGTATTTCTTTTAGATGTTAGCGAGTACTACTTAAATTAAAGGTTAAAGTGTTGAGTCTTCACAGGGAGATGTGTGAACTCTTTTGAAGTGATGCTGAAGACAAATTTTAAAGTAAAAACATATGGGGGTGTGTGTCGTTGAAAAGGAACTGATCTTACCAGATCTCAAAAGCCTGCTCATAATGTCTGCTTGAGGCTAGCTGCTCAAAGTCACATTAGCAGACACGTTGCATTGTGGGTAAAGTAGGCACCATCGTTTTTAATCTTCTTTTTTCGTTGCTATCCCAAATGAGTCTGACAATGTTAAAGGATTCAAACGTTGATGTTTCCTTTTAAGTATCTGACAAATCCTAGCTTGGAAGCTTTTGCTGGTGTTGTTAGAAAACCTCACTTCATCTCACTTTTGGCAGATCTTTTAGTAGAACATCTTTGATCCACCGTGTTAACTTGATGACAAATGTAATAGTCGTTTTCCTCTCTCTGTGATTCCCACTCTTGTACTCTGACTCACTCCACATAGAGTTTGCAGAAGCGAGGGACTGGGTAGAGAAAGAGCTCTCCTTCGACAAGAACGTGGACGTGAATCTTTTTGAGACGACCATCCGGGTCCTCGGGGGCCTGCTGAGCACCTACAATCTGACAGGAGACCAGCTCTTCCTCGACAAAGCTGTGAGTCCATCCACAGTTATCTTCTGTTGTCTAGTGGTTTTGTAACAGTAGTCTGGGGCTGATGTAAGACATTTGTTTCAAACTGATGAAAATGCTGCCCACGTAGCTTTGTTGAAACTGAGGCGTGGGAGGCGTGTGGCGCAGTGGATAGAGCCTTGGTATGGGGATCAGATGGTCACAGGTTCAAACCACACTGCAGTCAGCATGTCGTTGTGTCCCTGGGCAAGACACTTCACCCCAAATTGCTCCTGTGGGGATTGTCCACAGTATTGAGTACGTAAGTCGCTTTGGATAAAAGCGTCTAACAAGTAACAAGTAACATGTAATAATAATAATAATAATGTAATAAACTGCTTTGTAGGTTCACTACGCCTCCTCCCACTCGATTCAGTTGCAATTTAAGAAGACGTCAGATTTACTGATGTGTTAATGTTGTGTAAAGCTGTTGCATTTTCAAAATAAAGGCAATGGTGGTTAACTCGTACAACACAGGCAATGTCATTTCTAATCTATTTCTGTTTCTTCTCTCCATTTAAAGAAAGACATCGGGGCGAGATTGATGCCTGCCTTCAAAACTCCCTCAAAGATCCCGTTCTCAGACGTGAACATCGGGAAGGGGACAGCCCACCCCCCCCGATGGACGTCAGACAGCACACTGGCCGAGGTCACCAGCATTCAGCTGGAGTTCAGAGAGCTGAGCCGCCTCACACAGGACCCCCAGTACCAGGTCAGAATACCAAGTTGTTTGTGTTAATAACTTTGATTTGGCCTTGCTCACAGTTTTTTGAGATTGAGTGAAAAAAAGATTGGGGCAGTTTTATAAAGATATTTGACAGACGGTTTCAGTCCAGATATTAAGTGTAGCTTGCAAACATTTGAGTTCATGAGTTATTTCAGAAACCAGAGCTAACCCCCGAAGATTTTAGTCCCTATCTGACATTTGTGTATTTTCTGTCATTACCATAGCCAGCCATGTGAAACATCACTTCTGATGAGCCTCATCAAATTCAGCTCTATCAAATTGGGAAATTGCTTAAAATGTCCCAATGAAAAATGGCATAAAACTGTATTTCTTAGATGCATTGGCTCACACTCCAGCAGTTAGTTAAATGAGGACTGTTTCTTCATTATGTCTTGACATTAATGCTAGCTCTTTATTTCTCACCCTTGCAGGAGGTTGTGAATGAGGTGATGAAGCTGGTCCACAAGCTGCCAGGCAAACACGACGGCCTGGTTCCCATGTTCATCAACACCAACAGCGGCCAGTTCACCCACAAAGGGGTCTTCACTCTGGGGGCCAGGGCAGACAGCTACTATGAATACCTGCTCAAACAGTGGATCCAGGGAGGCAAGACGGAAGACGAGTAAATGCATATTTTTCAAATTTCTGAGAACATGTTGTGTGATTGTGAGAAAACACTGCATTTTATGACGGAATAACAGAGATCAACATAACCTGACATTCAGAGTACTGTAAATAGTTAGAATGGACTGTATGTTATAGGGTTTCCCACACATAGACTTTACTTGGGCGGGCGGGCCGGCCAGGTATATTAACGGCCACCAAAGTATATTTCGCGACCCATTTAGTTTTTTTTGTTATCCGTCCGCGAGCACAACGCCATCTGCGATCGTTGAACTAATGGACAATGATCCCTCGCTCTACGCCTCCTGTATCTGTTCGCTCTGCTATCGCGTGAAGGGTCTGCTAACAAGCGACCAACAGAAAGGTTCATGTTAATGTTGCTGCACGTCACAAAGCCACGCCCCCCCTCCCCCCGCTACCACCACAAGTATATTTCAGATCTGTGGGAAACACTGATGTTGTGCATACTGATGGAATTTGCTGCATTGCAGACCTTTGAGCCTTTTTTATGTAGAGTTGTTTCTCTTTCCTGCATTGTTATATATGTTAAAACCAGAAATATATTCTTCTTTTTAAGATACTAACTTAAGTATATTTTGAAAACTCCCAAACTAAATGACTCCTGACTGACTACCATGTCTCATATAATACTGACTAAAATGAACATCTCTCACATTTCCTGTTATTGTCTTTCCCAGCCTGCTGGAGGACTACCTTCAGGCCGTGGAGGGAGTGAAGAAACACCTCGTGAGACAGACGGGGTCCGGCAGACTGACTTTTGTTGGAGAGTTGTCCCATACCCGCTTCAACCCTAAAATGGTAAAGATACTCTCAGTCAGTTTGCGACACATACAAGCCCCTTAAAGGGACAGTTAGGACTTTTAAGACACTTTTCCATAAACCTACAGTTGTACGCCCACAGTTTGGACCAGCAGGAGTACAAGCAAGGAAGCTAAGCAATGTACTACAGTAAAACATGGGAGAAGCTGGTCACTGCCTTCATCGCTGAGTTAGTTGGTGTTTCTGGGGTCTTTTTTTTGGCTTTTCTTTTATTAGATAGACCGGTTATATTCAGGCTTGTGGGAAACGGTATTTTGATCTCTCTGTACACACAAACTGAAAGGTTGACAGTAAAGTTGACTTTGACTTTGAGGTTAATAGACATGAACATGAGAGAGAGAGAAAATGACCAGGTGAGCTACTGTGGCAAAAAAATCAACTTACAGTAACCCTAACCCTTCTGGATGTACCAGGAACAACAAGGATTGTCATAGGGTAATTCTCACTCTGCCGAAAGTCAATGAACTCGCATCACAGACATTCACCGCCTTGTTCAATCAATCAGCCTTTGTGCTGTAGTCGAATCTTTAGCTGTACCAACTCTTGTGCAGTCAGTCTTTCTCTCCACATGAATCAATTCTATCCCTCAATATCCTGGCCCTTCCTGATGGACCCCTTTATCTTGTCACTGCAGGACCACCTCGTGTGCTTCCTGCCAGGCACCTTAGCACTGGGGGCCCACAACGGGCTCCCGGGGGACCACATGGACCTGGCTGTGCAGCTGATGGAGACGTGTCATCAGATGTACAAACAGATGGAGACGGGGCTGAGCCCAGAGATCGCTCACTTCAACCTGCAGGCCTCCGATGGCCAGGATATCTTCGTCAAGGTGAAGCACAGGGACATAAACACAGAGGACCGTTAATGGGGGAAACTCATTGTAAATTCAAATGAACATGCTTTTAGAGCATTGCCTTTTTGTAAGTGTCTCTACATTGATGCTTTGCCTCAACTACAGTAGCTAAAAGTAGTAAGAGGGAATATTAATGTGTCCCGCTGGGAGCTGTGATTATAACCTTTCAAAATCTCTTCAGTGTTCATTTTCATTTTCATTACTGCTCCAGTTTTATCAAAGTATTTATTATTATTGTACTTTTCTCCTCTGCTGCCTTCATTAACCTCACATATAAGTGGGACTTCAAAACTTAGTAAATGAATATCATATTATGTAGACTTATTATTCCGATATATCTAGTCATTTTAAACACCAAACATATTCTTCTGCCCCATGAAAGCATATCTTTGAGTGTTTGGTTTTCAGGGCACAGATGATTTACATTTAGAGTTGATTATAGACCTTTTTATTCAGGTCACGGGAAGGTAAAACAAAATAAGAGAAAATAAGAATACTCAATCCTCAGTAAAAGCACAGTAAGGGAAATCATCATTCATTAAAACTAAGATAGATGTCTGTCCAGAGCCTCTGCGCCGGTCTGATTGGTTGCTTTGCATTTATTTTTTAAAGCTCATTAATTATTTATTGTCTTTCTATTTGTTCAGTTTTATTTACTTGAAACATCAGTTGACAAATCCACAGTGTTTCTACTCAAATCTAGGATAAGGAATCTCTTTCTAGTTTCTGTTTTGGAGTTGGTAAAATCACATCTAGCCCCCGGATGTTTTTTTTTAATTGTTCTATTTTTTCTTTGTGTTGGCTAATCTACTTTCTCAAGACAGCATAGGAATATGTGTTTCACTGTCACAAAGAGATATCCACTCCTAGTTTGTGTTTAATCGTATGTACTGTCACTGTGCTCCCTGATGTGGAACAAAAACATAGTTTTGATCATGTCTTTTAAAATGTTGATATTAATCAATCAGAATCATCAGAATCAAAATATTGTATTTATCCCGGGGGAATCGGGTCTTGACAACAATGTATATTACATATTAGAATATAAACAGTGGTGTGTTTTACCAACACATTGTCCTTATCCTCCAGCCTGCAGACAGACACAACCTGCTGAGACCAGAAACAGTGGAGAGTCTGTTCTACATGTACAGGTTCACCAAGGACACCAAGTACAGAGACTGGGGATGGGACATACTGGAAAGCTTCAACAACCACACTAAGGTACAAACCATCTGACCACAGAGCAGTTATTGACAAATCAACAAAACAAGACTGAATATCTGAGTCAGCTAAAGCTCTGTGATGTGTAGAACTCTTGTTTACTTTGTTGGCAGTGCAACAAATCGAAGGAAGTTCATGTTTTGTAATTGTTTTTTTAACTGTATTTACACAATTGAATTCACAACAGGGGTGGAGGTAAAAATGGCACACTTAAAAAAGCATTTAGTTATTGCTGTTGCTGAGGATCACAACTCTGGTGATCCTCTCTTTTACTTTGATATAATAGTTTGTATGCATTCTCTCCCTAAACCATCACTTCCTGGTCTCCAGGTCCCCGGTGGTGGCTACACGTCCATCAACAACGTACGTGACATCGAGAACCCCGCGCCCCGAGACAAGATGGAGAGCTTCTTCCTGGGTGAGACCCTGAAGTACTTCTATCTGCTCTTCTCTGACGACATGGAGCTGCTCAATCTGGACAAGTATGTCTTCAACACGGAGGCCCACGCTTTCCCCATCTGGCCCTCCCCCCCCAAGTGATGTCATCGAACAGGAGGAGTCTGTAGACATCAGGTAAAAAGAGTCCTGTAGGAGTCACTGCTGATTGGTCAGGGCTGGACTGCAGTGCTGAGCAGACCTGCGTCCACCTGCACTAAAACATGTGTCCATATGGAGGAGATACTGAGTTTTATTTTCCTTATTTCTTAATTGTTCCTAAGGAAAATGTCTGTGAGAGCTGGTCTCTAATGTAAAGCGGGTTCTTGTTTGTATCTGCTCCGACCTACTGGCTCCAACAGGTCATGGGCAAGAAGATAATGGGGAGCTTTTCTACTGGGGTGACTGGGACAGTCCTGTCTGTGTATATACTGTATATGTGGGTTGTAAAACCACCGCCTCATCCCTCAGTTTGTCTTTTTGTTAGTCCTACCGTCAGACATGGTGGCTGTGAAGGAATTCACACATTACTGAAGGTGCCGTAACCAATAATGGAAATCTATGGAGTATGTTCGCTATAATTATGTTTAAAGGGATTCCTCTCGGAAAGGAGTAGCAGATCATTTCTGAAGGTCTTTACTTTGGCAACACCGAGTGCACTTGCTTATTGCAAAAATTACATCAAATAAGTTTTACATTGTAATACTTTGTGAGACGTATGTCCCCTTTGTCGTGCCATCCTGAGTGTCTATGAGCAGCTACAGCGCAGTGTCCGGGGGCCAATATAAGTTCTGAGGCCTGCAGGAGAGCAAAGGCAGCACTGTGTTCCTAATGCCCGACATGCACACTTTCATTCATTAAAGACCTTATGAAGCATTGCTAAGTGTATGGCAAGTACACTTGCTATAAATCACTCCATCCAATTATGTAAAACAACACTTTTGTTGTTTGGGTATGAATGTTACTCAAACCTGTCTTTTAGCTTTCAGTCGTTTCAGGTTTTCAGGCTTTCTATGTAATGCATTGCACTCATTCATTAGTTAAAGGCACACTTAGGTCTTTTTCCACCAGTTCCCTATTTCCATACGTTTTAGTGTCCAAGTGACTGATGCGGAAAAACCTTTCTGAAATTGGTCTAGCATTGAGAGAGAGAGAGAGAGACAGAGAGCACTACCTTACACAAACAAGTGCTTTCAGTGGACCAATAGGATCACAGTGCAGCATCTCACTTAATACTGGACCAATTTAAAACCTCTTACTGCACAGTCACACTTCCTTGTGTTTTTTAAATGCAAAGTTGGTTCATTACTGATGTTTTATTTTGTGTGTCAGTGACAGAGAAGTCAATGTGTTTAAGGACCTAAAGGTGTGATGCTGAAAGTATCCTGAACAGAGGTCCATTGAAATAATGATTTTGAATTGGAATTCTACACATACAGCAATGACATGTTTTATTAATGAATGTATGCATTGTTATTTAAGTGATACATTTGTTCATAGAGGAGCTCTTGTTAATAAGTAAATGCACTCTCGCTCTACAGATATGGGCCTGGTTTTGAATACATTATTATTCACACTGATATGAAGGGGGATACATAAAGCTTCCATACAGTCTTACATTTGCAGTTTTTTATGAAGTTATATGGAAGAAACCGTAAACATTTCCTGTGTCAGGGACATTATGCCCACAGCCCTTCATGTATCATCTTCACACAAATGACTTGTTTAAGAAATGAAGTGTTTCAGATTGTTTTCTTCATACTTCAAGGAGTTTGATTCACGCTGTGTAGCAACCCCTGACTTCCCGTCAAATGTGATGTAAGAGCAGCGCTTGTTTTCTATATACTGTGACATTTAAAATCAATTTGAAGGACATATCCGGTGAACTGTAGGAGCTGCTTTGAAGATGGCTCAACCCACACCATTGAAAGGGTCTCTGTCTCGAATCTTTTTCTGTGGTTTCAAGACGTCCATGGAGCTCCTTCTGTCCGACAGACAGCCATACCCACAAGATGAATGTGCACTACATTTGCCAACGCTCTACTGTGCCTATTTAAATGTTTATTGTGCTACAGTGGTGTGTCCTTTTCTTGCTGCTGTATCAGTGGAGTGAATTTGTGAAGTGCCATGGGTGCTCCTGGTTTGTGTTTTTAATTTGAATGGGTGGTCGACTAAACATTATGGCTGTAAATACTTTCTGTTCATTGTTTCTAACGTGTGAACTGAATCCAACCTTGTCATTATGTCATGTCAAAACAATCTGTAAGTTGTTTTTCTTTCTGCACTTTTTATTTAATGAGGGTTAATTACATGGCAATCCATCAATGTGTCAAAGCCATTTGAACATTTATGGAAACTGTCTGATCTTTGAAGTATTTGTTTTTCTTCTTTGTTGCTCGCCAGGGAAAAGGGTAAATACTATTTTGGAAATGTGTATATTTCTTGAAGTGAGAAGAACATCTGTAGTACACATATTAGAATAGTATACCATGGTTTAATAAACCAATGTTATTGAGAGATTTACTATTATTACATGCATTCATATGTTTTCTATTCACCCGGAGTGTGACCACATTCAAACCGGACCGAACCGGATAGGACGAGTTACAGTGCTGCAACCGTCATGAGGCCCTGTATCATCTAATGTAGTGTAAATGGTTTGTGTTACTTTAAGGAGTCAAATCTAAAAGTGTCTGGAGGCGTTGCGAGTAAATACTTAAGTCACACACGTGGGTGAACAAGCCAAACTCAAACACTCTTTGGAAATCAGCCATACCTCTTAAACCAATTTCAATTTGGTGAGAGTGTAACATTCTCAATAGCATTTTACAAAAAGATAATCTGCCAGAAACCTTTTTTACTTATTCTGGCGGTATTCCAATGTTTCTTATTGCCCACAAAGAAAAAAAGATATTGGTCAGACTCTTAATACTTTGACTTCTTCAACCCGTTTGAGGGAATGTACCCCAAGACCCTTTGTTCCTACTGAAGATATTCATCTTCAAAACAAAATATGTAGTCAACTATTATTTTTAAAGGCTTAGGAATTCCCTTAAACAGCTTGGCACTAGTTTCTATCAAACCTTACTCAAACAGGAGAACATAATATTTGTTGGGCTCTATTTACACTGTAGGATTAATACACGTTCTCTATTTGTGTATTTTGTATATGTGAGATCAACTCAAGATGAACCAGTGTGGGTGTGATGGTAATGAAGGAACCCAGTGCAAAAGTGTGGCTCACTGATGTCATTTGAAATGTTTTTGGACAACCACAGCTCCGTTTTTTTTGCTTGATCTGAATTTGTTTTTTTTAATGTTTTTATGAAAATGAAGGAAGAAAGATTCTTAAACCTGAGAGTTGTTGTATATCCTGAATCCACGAGGGATCTGGAATCTGTCGAGTCAGAACACAGAAAGGATCAGATAAAAAGCTGCTTTGCTCTAAGGCAGTGACTGTCAGGGTTTTCACTTTGTTAAATGCTCTGCTCTCTATATACGATTGCCTCTCTTTTCATTAGCACAAATCCGCCTTTATGACAGATATTCATGATCACTGTTTTGTGTTACGAGGCTGATTGTAACAGAAAAGATAAAAGAGCGGGAAATGGCTCACTTAGCTCCCCAGAGACCTCCCACAGAAGCTATTTCATTCACTTTGCTTTCCATTTCATGTTCTGAAATGATGATTCTTTCACTTTACGGAAATTGGGCTGTCTCGGCCCTTTTTAATATATAAAAGTGGTACATTGATTCTTGAGGTTGTATTGTTAAATCTTTTCTAGAATTTCAAAGGTTTTGTGAAACACAACGATGTACTTTTGGTAAGAAGCTTTTAGTTTTTTCCTATCTTAAATAAGCGTATTGGCTAAATCTGACAAATGATGTAATTATGACTGAATCCAAGCCATAGCACAATGACCACTCCACTCTTCTACAGGATGTGGCTGAAAGAACCGCAGCATTGTGAATCAGTTTTAGACACAGGGGCCAAAGACATGGATCAATATAGTTGTTGCTGGTTCAATACCCTCACTGAGCCATGCTAAAAGTAAAACCCTTCTCTTCATGATGAAAGATCCGGTAGTTGGCCTGCAAGTTGATAACTCATCTGCTTTGGAGACATGCTGACATGCCTGTATTCATTTTCATTTAAGTGGTTATTTTATTTGGTTATTTTATTTTCAAAGTGGATAGAGTTTGGCAGTTTCTCATGATGATGCACTTTTCATAGTCCTTGTCTTTTATCTGTCCTATATAAAATCCATGTTCACTGTACAGATGTCCGATGGAGCACTTTGTAACTCAAGTTGTGGCTTATTGCAAAGTTCACCAAATGCAAACTGTGCTCCTGGTTACACCATTTTTGAATAAAGATTTTCAACGAAGGGTTTGGACTTCATTTTGATGTGAATAATATGTTTTGCTTTCATTTTTGATTAACCTGAAGAACATTCAAACTATTTCCAGATCTCCATCCAATATTGACATTTACTATTTTACAAATGGTTGCAGGGTGCATGTTTTCTGACTGTCTCTCTCCTTGTAGGCATCCATGTTTCACGGTCCTAAAAAAAGGAAGAAAAATGTAACGCGCTATAGTTAGCTGAACTAGTCAGTGACTTGTTTGTTTTTTCTTCGTTGTTGTGGGTGCCATGTTCTGTGTGGGGTGTTTCGTTTGTGTGTAGGTGACATAGAGTGGTTGGTTTGGGTGCCAGGGTTCCGATGGGGACCCTGACTTTATGGGGGGGGGGGGGGGGGGGGGGGCTGTGACGGCCCCAGAGCCTTTGTGCAGGTGTGTTGCAGGTCTTACGATGGGGTGGAGCTGAAGAGGCTAATCAGCGGACACCTGGCCGGAGCCGAGGTGCTATTAAGCCCAGCTGCCCGGAGTCACATCCCCGCTGACTCTCTCCAAGCCGGTTTCAGAAGGAGCAACACAGCGATCCTCTCCTCTCGTCCACCTGTCTTTTTCACCATATGGAACAACCGATATAAATGTGCCGTGGCTTCTGGAAACTCGTGTATGTCTCGTTGTCTTTCCGTTGTGGCCCACGAGCCGGTCATAACAGAGGTCCAAGGAGAAAAGGTTTCACAAGTTTAGAGTGTGTCCAAACCTCAACAAATTCAAATTCCTGGGATGAACTCAAAGACAGACTGTTAGCCTTATCACCAGCATCCTAATTGGACCTCACTGATCACTGCTCTTGTGTCTCATTTGGGGCAAATTCCACAACATTGTGTTGGAAGCCTAAAACTTGAAGAGTGTCGGCTGTTTTAGCTGCAGAGCAATGCCTATAGTGTTTGAATGACATGTTCAACAATCATCAAACTCCCTTTGACTAAATTGAGTATACGAGATATAATCAGTGCTCCAACACCAGGGGGCAGCAACAACCCCTATCCGTCTACACTTTACACAGCTTTAATGCACAAAGCAGGGTCTGGCAGGACAGGCCTTTCATCTTCAGACAGTGATTTTGCTGCTGGTGCAATACAGCGCATAGTATTGCACCAGCAGCAAAATCATTGAGGCGTTTAAGTTTGGTTTTACTGTTTAATATAATAAGACTAATTTTGTAAAGAGATATTATAATAGTTTATACGTTTTAATGGCATTTCTTTGAACAATCAATTCATTTCCATACCGAAAATGTCTTGCCTGGACTTCTAACTCTAAAGATCTGTACAGAAAAGCAACAGAAAAACACTTTGTTTCCATGAAATGTTCAATGTGATCCCCTGATGCTTTTTGTTAAGAACTTATGACAGTGTGTTGTTTTCTACCTGACCCAAAAAGGAGGAAGAAGAAGAGCACCTGTTGTCGTACCGCTGGAAGACCTCAGAGGCCATCTTAGCAGAACCTCGGGGAACTTGGCCAACACCTCAAGAGCCGAGTTTAACAATCACAGCACCTTCAAGTTATACTTTTTTCACTGCACACAGCACTTTACCAGGAAGTGTCTCAGAACATCATCTGTGCAGCTTGTCCTGCCTCCAGTTACTCTCTACAACTTTGGAACAGAGTGATTTCAAAAGGCTCAAAGAGTAATACACCTTGTGCAGAATCTCTCCTGCTAACCCCACCAGCAAGGGACCTGCTGCAGAGTGGAAGACATCACCTCCAGCTGGCAAACGGAGCTAATGATGTGCTGCTCTTCAAGGCCTCCTGTATCGAGGTGTACAGGCTCCCTGAGGGAGAGGGTGGGGGAGGGATTCCTCTACAGTGGGTGTCCCCTTGCAGCTCAACTACAGCGCTAGTGAAGGAGCTGCTCTACCTGTTTGGATCCATTTTTAATGAGAGGCACCTCTCTGCAGACAGGCTTCTTTTTTCCCCAAACCCAGTGAGTGACAGGCAGTCTGATGTCCTCTGAAGAGAGACCGGGGACCTGAAGCCCCCGAGTGTGGATCTGTCACTGTTGAGGGGGTGAGCAAGGCAAAAACACAAACAACTACTATATGTCAACATGAAGCTTCAGCACAGGTGATTTGGGCTCTTATTATTAGACAATGTTAGTAACAAAAACAACTTATTATGGGTTTTTTCTCCCACCAGTCCCACACATGTTCAAATCTGCAGAACTGTCACAACAGCTGATGATGTGACAGGGTAGGAACTCACCCCCCTGCAGAGATACAGCGGGGACATTGGGGGAGATTTGGACTGCGGTTCTGTATGTGGAGCCAAGCTGTCTCCTGTCCTTTTAACCGGGGATAAAAACCAGTCGCAGATCAGCATGCAGCTTCTGTAGCCATGGAGACATGGAGACATGGAGTCAGAGCATCACTGCCCTGCAGCATGGAGCCTCAGGTAAACCCTTTTATCTGAACACCTTCAGTTACTCAGTGACCTAAGGATGCAGACTAGTCTATATATATCTGATTCTATATTCAGGAGGAAACTGGGTCTGTCCAGGACCATCCAGACGGAGCAGTGCTACACCTGTGCTCTGAAGTCTCAGCAGCCCTAAATACCAGCTTGTACCACTGTTTAACTGGGAGCTGTGGTCTAAAAGGGTGATAACAAAAGTATATCCCTAACCCCTATCCTATACTTACAGATAAAACATCACAAGGTCAAGGAGAGAATTCATAATTACTTAAGAAAAGACGATCAAGATGTTAGGATCCAATTGCGTAATTCAATTCAATTTTTCTCAAATGTAGCTGTTCTTCCAAGCGCGAGCAAATACATGGATTAAATATGAAATGGCAGCACATTTGAGGTCATATTCTTTACTTGAGCTATAGCTGTCTGCCGGTTGTTTTCATATAACTAATGGCTCTGTAGTTCTATTGATTACAAAACAGAAGAATCAGCTAACTTGAATGAATGCGTATACTTTAACAAAATTCAAGATTCAAATAATATAAGAACCCGGAGTTTGGCTGTGTTTAACAGTTATTTCCTTTTTTCCCATTTAAGCTCTAATGTCCTTTTGAATGTACTTTAAGTATAGCTGGATGAACATAAGGTATGATGGGCTGGATGCTATGGGAGTATTTCTCCTGGCAATGGGCCTGATGTTTGCTTTTACATGTTGTTTAATAATGTTTTACCTGAACTATTATTTTACATCATCAATAACGAGGTGTTTTGTGTTTCTGTAAAAAGAACCAAAGTGAGCTAGGGGAGCCTGCAGGCCTGCCTCAGGCACATTGTAATGCAACTAAAACAAGTTTTATTTTTCATGCAATCAGAACACTGGGGTCTGCATTTGCATGTATTACATTCCCTGTAACATCCAGCATCATAGCTGGACTTTTTGTGCAATACTTTTTAATTGATTAAAACATTGATAAATAAACACAAACCACTGTCTGCCTCTGTTGCGATTGGTCAACAGCTTAGATATGTCCCGCCCCTTAGCCTAACGTACAATGTGTTGGAGCGTTAGCCAAAAGAAGCACCAGTGTTACATGGTGATGTCACTATGTTATGGAAGTAAACAAAGGAGTCCAATGGAGGCGTTTCAGGCAGGGGGGGGAGTGTGTGGGAGAGAAACTCCCTCTGGAAGGAACTTTGGGATTGTAGCCTTTGCAGACCTTTTACATGCACTCAAATCTATATAACACACTACAGGAAAGGGAAACCCCAAACAGCATAAAAAGTGTTTTTGAGAATCCATACAGAAAACACAAAACATAATTTTGCAATACTCAAGTCTATCCATATATTTTTCACCCCTAATTTTCTATATAAGTGTATTTTCTTATGAATGACATGTACACGCCGTTTGCCTTGACATTTAAACACAGTGCTAAGCTAACTGTCAGATTACCTTGCCGCCCTGTTATAACTTCACTTGTACTTCCATCAGTGTAAACCAAACTGCAGCACTGAAGGCAGGAGGTAACACCCTGGGATTGTCTGACTTGAAGATGGGTATATTATTTATGAATATACTATCGGTTTCTATTTTGTGTTTCCCATCTACTTAATACCAGCCAGTTCTGTAAATCCATACAAACATAAGATTGGTTATTATTTCAAGGAGGTAAAAGACACAAGGTGGCTGTATAAGCAGCGGTTAAAATACTGCAAATAAATCTCCCAGCGCTGCTTGGCAAAGAGGCAGAGCTTAAACGATGCCCAGTCGCCAAGGGCCTTTTCAATTTACTTCGACCTATAGATTTTCTGCATCATGTTCCCTTGGCTGACATATTGCCAGGTCTTGCATGGAAGTCTTTCATCGTGCAAATGCCAGCTTCCTTCGCATCAACCAGCAGGTTCATTATACGACATACAGAATAGTTTATATAATATTTTAGTGTATCGTATGTCTTTATATTACACTGTGGATATATTTGCAGCAATCTGATGCCAAAACTAACATCTGTTTAACTTTAGGTTCCCCTAAGTGTTGTGCAGCCAGAATGACATATCATATATTATAGTATGATATATTTGGTCCGGAATACCTGGGAGCTTTTTCTTATTTTCTTATTTTCTTTCTCACCATCTCAGTTGCTACGCTCTGTATGAGTGAAGAATGTTCAGAAACCTGGATGAAGTGTTATCATGCTGAAGTGGTTTCTAAAGGGGTACTACAGATAGCATATCCAGGTTCTTTTTAGAGATATTCCAAAAATGTTACATGGCTGCTGTTGACCTATGGGATGCTGTGTGGAGTATTGTAGTAATCTGTTGTTTGGCACTGAGAGTTAGCTTAAGGCTTAAAGCAGCATCTTTCTTCCAATTGAATATGAAGAATACACTTTCTGGAATTAATTGTTGTTACCCGAGGGGGAATTAAAAAGATGTTCACACTGAAGTCACTACGATTTTTGCCAACAGATTGGCTGGAAAAATGTCTTATGAAGAGCTTCGTTTTTTCGCAGATGTATTCAAACTTGGTGAGTGTTGCCTTTAGATAATGTTGCATATGGTC